TTGAATTTTTTTATATTTCGCGTTTATTTTAATAGATTAATATGAATAATCCCAAAAGAATGAAACGGAAAGATGTAATTGGGCGCCTGTTTTTGAGAGCTCAAAAACATGTCGACTCTCGCCATCTTCATACGAACGATATGAATATTCATATGAATAAGCAAATAAATGTCTTAAAGCACTGGCAGTATTCAAAATATTTATGCCTTTAACTGAAATTCAGTTATCATTTCATTACCACTTGGAGAAAATCATCCTCAGGTGGAATAAAGGTCAGCAGGTATGTTAATCATGACTTTGAATGATTCGAAAACTTACCGCACGAAGCGAGTAGACAAAGTTCAATAGCAAGAGCTGCCACAAACCAAATGGAAGACATTTCATTCAGAACAAATAAATAACGAAAATATGCAGAATTTTTATTCAAACAAATTAATTGTTATTGTTAAAAATGCTGATGTAATCACTTCCTCATCCGGAAGGAAGTGTTTCTTTGAAATCAGTGATGGCGGCAAAAAAGAAAGCGAAACTTAAAAAGTGTTTCATTAAGTACGCCTCATTCTTCTTTTTATTTAACTATTCATTATTTTATGATTAAGAGTGAAAACTGCGAAATTTTAGAAATTAAGTTACGAAACCAGATACAGAAATGCACTTTCTCTTAAAATAAATAAACCGTTTCGGATTTTTACCTTTAAAATGCTGGATTAGTTGTGAACTAAAAAATAGGGTTCAAATTGGTGATGTCTCTCAGTGGACTGATCGTAAAGACACGGTTCCCAAAGTCAAGCATCACTGGTTGCTGTCAGTAAGCTGGTGGGTGACCACTTTGATCAGCCTACGTAGGGACCGAGAGTGCTTGGTATCGGTCGTCGTTTAACTGTTCTACCGTAAAGTGCTCGATTTCGCGCAGGTCATCGGACTACCAAAGCAGGGGAGCCATCCCATTAGTAGAGGATCAAAACTGTGGTGGCATGTCTTCGGAACATTGTGCAGCTCTAGTGCGATGTAAATAAAGTACTTACCTATACCTGAAATTGGCGATCGAAATGGGCCACATGGTGAGGAAAAGCAGAACTCTCTACCTATGACAGCACTTGACATGCTTTTACCATTAGCGTGAGGACAGTTATGGGAGAAGGAAGTACATTAAATTCTGCCTTGATTTATAAATAAAGTAAAAGCTTTCAAATTAGAAAACTATTTGGAACTTAAAACTGTATTAAACACAGTTTTTAAAGAACGCGTCGTAAAAATTTTAGAAAATATTTTTGACAATTAAATACAAAATATGTTATGGAAGGGAAAAATACAGTACCACATTCCTATACAACTGAGAAGAGGAGGAGAGGCAAGGAAGATATGACGACATGGAACCGGTCTTCCCCCCAGATGACGTATTCGAACTTTGTGATAGCTAATTGTTTAATTAGGAGAGTAGTCTAAAGCTTGGAGCATTTAGTTTCACTATTTACTTCATTTCTTGGGAACTGAGCCATCGTGGCTCAGGAGATAGAGCGTTCGCCTTCCCATGAAGTTTTTCCCATGAAAGGAGTTCCAGGGTTCGAATCCCAGCGATGACTAGTCGATACTAATTCGGCTCTCAACTGACATAAAATATCTGCAGTAGAAGGTGAATTATGTTTTAGAATCTTCTAACCAATAGATATTTTCCAGATTTTCCGTTTCATGTATCTAGAATACGAGTTAGTTAGAACAAAAAGTCATCTTGGCTGTGGAATCAAATCTATAAGATTTCGGATTTATACACTGACAGTCGAAAGCTCAAAATTAGGCTGGCTGGTTTAACACAGGTTATAAAATAGACGATGGCTGAACCATTTTGGAGAATCGTAGTTTTTGAGAACAAAATAGCGAAACTCGTTAACCCAATGGTAATTAAACTTAATAAAAATTTTTAGAACTTTTATAATAATTTTAAAATGTATATGATTTTTTTTATGTTTTATAATTTTGTAACCGTCGTTGAACAGCTGACCTAATTTGAGTGTACGACTACCAATGTTCAACTCCATAGCCTTGTAATTTTTAATCCAATTCAGAAGACAAGGGAACTCCTGGAGCAAGTATTGAGAGAAATTTGCCTTCGTGGGGGACTATTTGATAGAACTAACACGCACCACGCAGGAAAACCAAGAAAAATTTCTACAGTTAGCTTGATGACAAGGGGACTATAACTCATGATCCGTCCCCCGCAAAGGATATTTTATATCACCACGGTGGTCAGAGAGAGCCTGGTCTGGAAATCTCACTGACCAGCCATCGCTGAGATTGAAACCCGGGCTACCTCAGTGGGAGCGAACAATCCTCTGAGACACCATGGCTCTATTTACCATTTAACATTGGACGAAAATACACTGTCAAAAACAATTAAAAAAAGGAATGTTTTTTTTTTTTTAAAAAAAAGAACAAAATAAGTAACGCAAGTAAAGTATCACACGTTAGCTAAGTACTTCGCGGACACCACTACCACACAGTAGTCACTGACGTTGTAAGGCAGTGGCATTGTGACCGCTTTGTGTAGAGATAGTTCTTTTTCTCACTGAAGCTTGTAGCGTAAGGATATTTTGAAACATCGTTGCTTAGCCCAATCCATCTATATATATATTTCTCTTACACAGCACCAAAAAAAAGTCTCATTACAACTTCCCGAATGGCAACGTTAGAAAATTGACCAATGATTGCTGCTAAAAATGTCACATGGCAAATGTCACATGAGGTGGCTCAACATATAGCGCTTTTAAAAACGGAAAAAATAACCAGAGTGAGCATTATCAGGTTGTTCAATTCAGATTCATGCCCTAAAAACATGATAATATTTAATTTAAACTCAATTAGGAATTAATTAATTAATTGAAGTGAGAATGCTTTAAAAGGCCGCTGTTGAATTGATATTTTTCTACTGGGAGCTACCTAAACGTCTAAAAAACGTCTAAGTGTTTGTATTGAATGCATTGAATTTTTTTATATTTCGCGTTTATTTATGCATTGAATTTTCACGCTTTAAAATGCAGAATATTAGTGAAGCTGCTAGGGCTTTTAAACGTAATGAAACGTGTTCGAAGAGCCCAAGAAAGTGTTGAGGAATGTTATGGAAGACATAGATTGCAGAGATCAAGTGCAATATTAAGTATTGGCAGTAGTCAAGGGGAAGTGCCAAAATCAAAACTCCCCGATTAGAAATGCAGCATGGCGACCTCCACATGGTATTTCTCGGGTAATGCTAACAGCCATGCATTTTAATTTATTGTATGTAAAACATCCTTATTTTGTTCTAAAATGTTATGTACTTTATCACAAATGTTAATTAATATAGAAATTGATTTCAATAATGCTGATCACCAAAAAATATTTCATTTGGCGATAAAACAAATTTTTGTGTTCTTGAAAATGAAAGACTTTTTGAGGGTTATTATCTCACAAGGAAAAGTTAGGGTTTAAAGTTTATATTTTTAAATAATAAATTTTTTTTCTAAAACTTTCAGAATTTCTAGCATTAACTAATTTATTATACACATTTAGTTGAATTTAGGTGAGTAACTGCAATATTTGATAATTTATTTTGCTAATATGTTTCTCATTTAGCTAATGTTTTGATTTTTTCACCATGTACAATCTAAATAGCTAATATACTTTTTTAAAAGCCAATAAGAACATTGATAGAATTCTTCTACATAAGTACAATACTATGTCTTTGATGATAAAATACTATGTCTTTGATGATAATATACTATGTCTTTGTGCTAGAACATTGTGTTCATTGGCGAGCGAGCGCAGCGAGCCATGGTTCACGGCGTGAACCACATAGGATTGCGTAGCAATTCTTGGGGGTTGGCGAGCGTTAGCGAGCAGGGGGCGGAGCCTCCTAGTATTTATGAATTTCTTTACTCATCGTTCAGTTCGGTCAGCCATCATCGTTTAAACGATGCCACGAGATGGCAGTTAGTTGAAAGACTCGAGGAGGGGCATTCGTAGGATATCTGTTGTAGTCACCTCGAGAAATGGTTTGTCTGCACCGTGAAGACAGTTTTACAGAGAGAGGAACAGTGCTCCCCCGACCTGGTCAAGGTCGCAAAAGGGCAACAACGTCTGCTCAACACCGTTATTTGAGACTTTTAGCCAAAAGGGATAGGTCCGCGCCAGCAACACTATTGCCTCGTAACCTGTATTAACATCCGGTCACCCAGATACTTAACGCAGCAGCCTGTATGCCTGGCAACCTGTAGTCTGCAGACTGTGAACTACAAAAAGGAGCATCTAGCATGGTAGAACATAATGTCTTGGAGCGAGGATGTCAGGTTATCTTCAGTGATAAATCTCGATTCAATCAGGACAGCTTATTCTCATCGGGAGAAAGCCCGGGAGTCGATAGAATTATGCCCGGGGGAGAAGAATTATGCATTTGAAATCTTCTTTTATACCTTAACAAAAGAAGCAATTACAGCCGAAGGTTTAATATTAAAAAATTCAGGTTGATTAATTAAGAACTCTACTAGTGAAAAGATGTAATGATATACATTATTCTTCATATACGATATCTTTATATATGTTTGTATTATAATCTTTATACAGTGAGGTAAAAAAATTAATAAACTAGGTGGACCGTATAACACCTAACGTTTGGGAATAAGTAACTTCGTAAGTATTAAAAAAACAGCTTTAGGTTGAGTTATCTAAGCCTGAAGTGTAAAATGTCGCATCTTAGGTTGACAAATTAATACTTCTAAAAATACGAAAATAAATACTTGAGGTTGATTTATAAGAACCAGAAGTGTAAAATGGAACACCTTAGGTAGATAAATAAATACCTCAATAACTATATAAATCTATATCTGAGGTTGAAAAATAACAGCCTAAAGTAGAACTTCGAACACCTCACGTTCATAAAAATCAAGCTATCGAACGGTTGAAAACCACACTTTTCGTTTATTTATAACAAACAACCTGAAGAGTAATACGGCTAACCATACGGTGATAAATAAATACCTCTACAAGCATAAAAATCTGTACTTGAGGTTGAAAAATAATTACCCCAGGTCGAACATAATACACCTCACGTTTCACGTTAGTAAAATATTACCTTTCCAACTGTCAAAAAATATATGAGGTAGCTTTATAATAGCTTGAAGTGTAAAACGGCACACATTAGGTTGATAAATAAATACTTAAGTGTTAAAAATAAACTTCAGGTTAATAAGTAATAACCTAAGGTTGAAAATGAAACACCTTAAAGTAGTAAGTATCTAGCTCGTTACAGATGTAAAATTAAACACCTGAGGCTGATGCATATATACCTCTGGAGGTATTCATTTGCACTCTTTTCAACTTAAAGAAGTAAATAAATAACCTACCATATCTCCTTTGAAAAGTACCTCATTTCTACCTCGACTTTTTCGTAAGGGAGATCCTTGCACCTCATGCGAGACTCATCCGTGGAGCATATGAACTGAATTTCCTCTCCAAGTTTCTGTAAAGCGTAGAAAGTTGGCATCCCCGTATCTCTAGAGACTTTTATTTTATAAGCTCGCTCTTCCTTGCTGATGTTAAAAATAAAAAAAGTTTGGATTGCCATAAAATAACTAAGGATTGCCACAGTTGCTTTTTTCCAACTCATTCAACAAAATTTAAAAAAAATAATAATAATAATAAATTGGATTGATAGTTATTACAATACAAAATACTACAAAGTTATACGAAGTGAAATGCAAAGTGCCAAATAAAAATAATTGGATTTAGAAAAAACAAAAAAAAAAACAATGATACCGAGAAAAAAGGTCGAAAAGGATTAACTAATTAAAATAAAGTAGTAAAAACTTAATTTTAAGAAAGAGACCAATTTATCTGCATTATCTAATCAACATAAAAATCTACCATTCATCAATTCCCTTCATAAACTACATATCCCCTGAATTAAATGTAACATAGAGCAGTACAATAGAGTGGTCGCGATAATTTTTGTCCTCAGAATGAAGCCACGCGTCAGGTGCGAATTCAAGAGAGAAATATTCTACCATCCCTTTCTCCTTGTCATTTCAATGGAAGAAAATCGATGTGAGGATTTTGAAGTAAAAATCTTAAAACATGGTGTTTTATTGTGGTGCATTTGGTTGTACAGAAAAATTTGCTAAAGGATCTCATACATTCCATTGGCAAGTTAATTTATACCTTTTTTATATTCATTTTATTTACTATTTTCATTTATTACTTTTTGCTAGTGCATCTTTTCTTTAAAACATCATATGGATCCCAATTATTCCATTTTATTTATTCTCAACTCTAAATTTAAATTTTGAAAACTATCTTCAAAGTAAAAATAAATAAAAAGGAATACAACCTAACCATAGAGTAATGATAACAGGTTTATTCATTATTAATACATAATTTTTTAAAAACATCTAAAATGTAGTGGACAGTTAGCTAAGTAACAATTGGTGACATTGTTGCTTAGCTTTTTTGTTTATTTGTGTTGTATTTTTTTACTCTCTCAAATGCTTCTCAAAGAATAAATTCAATACTTTTAAATTTCAGAAGCTTTTACTGAATTAATTTGATAAAATAAATTTGCTCACAGAAAAAGAGGGGTTATGAAAAATTATTTCATAACTTTTTGATAAATGGGGCAATGTTATTTAATTATAAGTTCTTTGATTAATTCATCAGATCATTATAAATGAAATCGTCTGATCTTTTTTGATTGCAATAATACAATAGAGCTGTGGCGGCTCAGGGGATAGAGGAACCGCATTCCAACGAGGTAAGCCGGGTTTGAATCTCACACAAGCTGGTCGCTAAGAACCTTGCACGGACCACAGTCCTGACATAAAATGTCATCAGTGATAGACGGATCATGGGTAAGAGTCCCTTTGTCTTCAGCAGGGGTGATTGTGAGCACAAGTCAAAATTCCGGAAAATTTCTTGAGTTAAAAAAAAAAGTTTAAATTGAAAAAAAATTCAAACAAGTTTTTTTTCCCTTTTCTCAATATTTCTTAGTTTACTTAAAATATTTTTAAAATTTTACACATACCTATACCATTTACACATGCATACGATGACCTGGAGAAGTAATTAAAATTTACAAATATGTCTTTCTTTCTTGAGTACAAGAAACGAATGAAATAAAAATAAAAACATGACCACCGAATAAAAACATGACCACCGAAGCCGACGTCTTCAGGGGGTACCGGCCTCGGTAGCCATTAAAAACAAAACCATTTCTAATTGAGGGAGAAGCAAATGCTTAAAATATCTCCCTCAGTACTCCGATGGTTTTGTATAGAGGTCCAGGAAAAACAAGATACATTCAAAATAATTACAAATTAAGAAAAGAAAATCTTGATATCAAAATCATCAGAAAATTAAAAACTCACTAAGTCACAGGTCAAGTATCAACTTCAAAAGCAAGTAGAGGAAAAGAAAACACTAAAAACTGAAAAACCAACGCCCCCTATTATAATGCGCAGAAGAAGTTTNCTGAGTTGAACATTCATTTTATGTAGTCTTAAGCCCTAGTAGTTAAGTAGTCGTAAACCCTAAATTGGATCGGCTGTTAAACAACAGTAATAAAATAAAATATGTGGAAAAAAACTGAGAATACACAGTGATAGCTTGTTAATCTTATAATCGTCTGTGTAAAGTTGAAATCAAATCAAAAAGCATTTTTTTAAAGGTAATAAATGTATTTTTCATAACAAGTTTATAATTAATTTTTTGATTCCTAAACATGCTTAAAATCGTTTATAGTAAATTCCAAATACCAGAAAAGATATTTAACACTTTATGCGATAGAGTAGTATTATAAAATATATGTCAGATCAAAATTTAAACTCGTTTATGTACTTCAATAATGATAAATTTAAAAGAAAAATATAAATATACAGTGATAATATAAATAAGTTTAATTCTTTAATTGCAAACACACTTATGAAATGCTCAGATTTATAAAAAAAGTATCTGTAACAATCCCTTTTAAGGCATGAAATTACTTCATTAAATAAAAAATAAAACAAATTTATTCAACAATATTTTAATTACAATGACTAGTATTTTGATTTTTTTTCCTTCTTAAATAATGTACAGGATTGAGGGAGGTAAAAAACATTCCATAATTATTTCATTGAAATAAAGACGTTACGTCGTTGCATTAGTGGATAGGTCAGCCTCCCCAGTAACAGAAGAGAGAACAGTTGTTTCAAATTGCCCTTGCTGTGCCAAATGTTGCAGCGTCGCAAGCTGCGAGGAGTCGGTGACAAGAACTATTTGTTGCATGTTGGAGAGAGTCCCATCATCTTGCAGTTGAACAGCATACACAGGATGCTATAAACCAAACAAACAGCATTTTATTAACAGTTAGTGTAGATTAATACAAGGTTAATTTTTTTAAGTAAGAAACGTTTTGTAAAGGAGTAAAATAAACTTTATTTATGAACGTAAATTGTATCACAAACTAAAATATGAACATTTATTAACTTTTCAACAGTCACCATTAATATTGAAACAGTAGACAGTCACCATTAATATGAAAGTCGGAGCACCAGCCGTCTGATTGTTAAACCAATCAGTAACAATTTCTTTCAAGCTGTCACAATTTTTCAAATGTTTTCCACCAAGAAATAATTGTAAGTTTTGGAAACAGATGAAAGCCTGAGAGTGCTAAGTCAGGTATTTACGGTGGATGATCTAGTACTAGAAAAATTCGTTATCCATGAAAATTTCAGATTTTTTCTGCTTTCCCTGCCTGGGAGGCACCAGGCTAACCGTGGGAGGTCCTAATCGTTTTTCTCTCCATGTAAAGCAAATGCGGTTTAGTTCCATCAAAAAGTTCTCCACAAAGGCAAATTTCTCTCAAAACTTGATCCAAGAGTTACCTTGTCTACTGGATTGCTTTCAAAATTACAAAGTTACGGAGTTGAATACAAGGTTGCCGTACACTCGATATTGAGTCGGCTGTTGAACGACGACCATAAAAATAAAATTTGCATTATGTAAACAGAATTAGCTATTTTCTGAAAAATAATAATTGAATATTGGTGCTGATGCGTTTTCTTTTTTGCAAAAGAAGCTGCGTTTTAATAATCCTCTTACCATTTAGCTAACTGTAGGAGGTTTTCTTCTCCATGAAACATAAATGCAGGTTTAATCCATTGAAAAATCTTCCACAGAGGCAATTTCTCCTAATGCTTGATCCAGAAGTTACTTAGTCTTCTGGGTTGGATGCAAAATTACAAGGCTACAAAGTCATTAACTTAAAATTGAGTCGACTGTTTAATGACGGTCATAAAATAAAATATATCAAGCAGTCCTAGTCACATTTATTTGAAAGATAAAGCTAGTTAGCAGAAGAAAAGTGAGCTTGAAGTATTCAGCACCGTATGAAGAAACGAGACTTACTTCTTGTAAAAGTTGAGCAGAAGTTTCACCCTGAAGAGCTACGATAGTAGGAAATGTTGTTTTGACTGAACTGGAATCTTTGGTATCCTAAAGAATAATTTAAAACAAAATTATAAACTTTATTTTGTAAGCATATGAATAAGCATTACATTTTATTCAATAACAACTCAAAGTGTGTCAATGTAATTAATTACACAATGAAAAAAAATAATTTCTTTCATTTTTACTACCTTTTTTGTGCATAAAATATTATTCTGTTTACAAAAGAAAACCAAACAAAAAGTTTGAATGCAAAATCAAACGATAATATGAATATGTACAAATTGAGACTCACTAATTGTACGTTGGCACACTTATTATCTTTTTCATTCTCTTTTGGTATGGTGTTGACAGCTTTTTTCTTAAGTTCCAAGCTTTCTTCAGTTTTCTCCACAGCTTCTAAAAATGTAATAAGTAAAACAAATTTTATGAAACCATAATACATTTGAATTACATGAGAATTCAGCATAGGAAAATAAATATAAAAATTTAAGGTAGATCAATTTCTTACTTAAAACTATTATTATAAGTTTTTTTAAGATTCTTGTTCCAAATGTAGGATTAAATTTTATGGTCATAAGCATAGAGTAAAGAAAATTTTGATTTCACATTTTCAATAAATATAGAACAAACATTTGGTTTCAAACACTGCATAATTTATAATCTATTAAAAGAAAATACAAACAAAAAAAAATTTTTTTTTTCCCTTCGAATCTTCTCACGTTTACTTAAACTAAGCCTTAAAAAAACGACTAAAAAAAATCCACTATTTATAGTAGTTTAGCGATGTTTTAACGAACCCAAATTACAATATAAAAGAATTACACATTTTAAAATAAGAAAAAAGCTTTCCTAAATCAAAAAAAAAAAAATAACATTTATAAGAATAAAATGATTTACAAGTTTAGACAAGAAAAATAAGTTTAACAAATACAAAATTCAAATACAGTGAAACCTCAATTGCGTGGACACCATTGGGCCCAAAAAAATTGCTTGTTTACGAGAGTTGTTTGTTTACAGGAAGGGTACGCTAATAACAAAGCTTAACACTGTAAATTGTCTTTAGAATATTTTCAATGGTGTAGAAATAATTAAATGATCTAGAATACGTGGATATTCATTTAAAGTTTAAAAAATATTTTTTTTCTATACAAAAAGAACATATGAAAAAGTTTGATACAAGTGCAAAATTCTAGATGTAGCCACAGATAAATGAATATAATTTTATTAACACATATATTCAAATTAGTCATATGATACCAAATAGGGGCTTTTAGTCTGTTTCAGTTATTAGGCTTACACCCCCTAACACCTACCCATTACTTGATAGGAAACGTGGTTAATAAATCCTTGAAAGTAAACCTCTTGCAATTCAGAGAAAACAAAAGAAATCAATGCTTATCTGTAAGGTACAAGAACCTATGGAAGTTGATATATTCACAATTAATCATGTATCAAGTGTCTGAATAAATGTTTCATTTACATGAACACCTCAAAGATTATACTTCTGTTCTTTTTTTTTTACCCTAGCTGTGTTAAATAGTCCTCAAATTTGTAAGAAAATGAGTGATTTTCAGTGAGGAAGAAGAATTGAGAACATTTAAGACATCATTTCATGTTGTAGAGTCTCATAACCTGTATCACCCAGATGAAAAGATCAAAAGATGCCCATGTCTCAATAAGCTGTATGATGTTCTCACATTTCTTTGCATAGTTAAGGCAAGGTGACAGGAGAAAGATTTATTCCGTTGTGAAATAACCTAACAATATTTTTAGTTATGTTTAGTTTTTAGTTAAAAAATTCACATACTTAGAAAATTTTGAAAAGTTGCAAACTTTTTTTCCCTTGCAATATAAAGCAGAAACAGTACTTTTTTTCCCTTATAATTCTGAAAAATAGAGTACGGTTTAGGAAATAATGTTTCAGGGCAAAGATGACTGTCTGCGTCCAGTTACGGGAGTGTCTGCTTTGCGGAGAATGTACATAATGGTTTATTCATAGAAGATTCTCGGGGAATTATGTCCGTCTTGAGAGGCGTCCGTTTTGCAGGAGAGGTTTTGCTCTTTTTTTTTCTCCAAAATTTCATCACTTCTAACTAATGAATTTCATCTAACTAGTTTTAACCAATCTTAGAAGATGATGTAATTTCCGAGATATAAAAGATAAGAGAGAAGGAGGTGGAAAGTTAAATGAATGAAACGGGGTATATATAATTTTACATGTGCCCAGCTGTAGTTGAAGGTCAAAATGTAAAACCATTCTTTCTAACAGTAAAGACCACATGTGCCATGAGTCATCCATTTCACAGAAGAGAGTTATAAGGGATTGAGAAAGGTCAGGTAGTTGTAAAATTACATTGATAAAAATAGCAGGATCATCTTTCTTTTGCCTCACTTTAAAACTGGATAAGGAAATNCACTTTGAGGGCCACTTTCACATTCATCAGATTTTGTTATGCTAGAAACGTTTTCTTCAACAGAAGTATCACATTTCTGTACAACAGAAAAACTTAAATTGGTACTAGATGCTGTCACCTCACTAATTTCAGATCGTGATTTTTTCTCAAAATAATTAAAAATTGCTAAATTCTTGCGTTAAAAATTGTTAAATCCTAAAGATCCAAGAACAGCAAATATATGTATATATTGGCACAGAAATATCCGCTATGCTATGATCTCAAAGTTTCGAGCGGGAATGAATAACTTCAACGAGCACAGTATCTCTGGTATTGTTACTGATTTCTTCACTAGTCGAAATACTGGGGACAACGGGTTCGGCGATTGAATGAACTTTTTGTTAAGACAAAACAAAACAGATTTAATGACAAGCAGCAGAGATAACTCTCAGTCTGACTAACTAACTCCACTGTAGTCCGTTCCCCCCTTTATATAAATTTTCACTGCGTCTCCAAAATCTCGAATTGTCTCAAAGACGACAGAACGTCTAGGATTCCAGAATCATCCCGTAAAGACCTCACGAATGACAGCCAGTCTCGAAAACTACACTGGCAGGACAGAAAGGAACCAGTCCATAACAGTATCACGTGAATTTGGTTTCAAAAGTACAATCTTATTATAGTAAATGTTTCTTCAGTATTCTGAGAAATACCGTGAGAAAAAAAAGTTGGCATAAGGTTAATATAAATATATAGTCTTAAAAAATAATAGCTCGCATAATTTCTACTAAAGTTTTTACTTTTGCTATTTTGTCTGAGCGCAAGGGGGGTGTTTAAACCCCAAAAACCCCTCCCTTGCGTACACCACTGTTCATAGAAGATTCCAGGGGAATTATGCCCGTCTTGAGAGGTGTCCGTTTTGCAGGAGAGGTTTTGCTCTATTTTTTTCCAAAATTTCATCAACTTCTAACTAATCTTAGAAGATGATGGATGATCTAATTTCTGAGATATAAAAGATATGAGAGAAAGGGGTAGAAAGTGAAATGAATGAAACGGTGTATATATAATTTTACGTGTACCCATCTGTAGTTGAAGGTCAAAATGTGAAACCATTCTTTCTAACAGTAAAGACCACATGTGCCATGAGTCATCCATTTCACAGAAGAGAGTTATAAGGGATTGAGAAAGGTCAGGTAGTTGTAAAATTACATTGATAAAAATAGCAGGATCATTTTTCTTTTGCCTCACTTTAAAACTGGATAAGGACATTAAAAATAGGGATTGGACTTGAGTAACAATACCGTTATTGTGCAAAAAGTTATAAATAATTTTAAGTAATATATAATAAAAAAAGTAGTTAACATAAATATTAAAACCTAAGGCAGGATATTACAAGATCAACTACAGGGTGCATAGCCAAATGTTTCAACAAAAAATAAGCACCTTTTAAGTACTTTTTAAGCACTATATACATTAACAAAATGAAAAATAGATTTAAAAGACTTTACATGATCATGATAAAATAACTAGTTTCTGAAAAAAATCTATTTTCTTGATTATATTAGTCACCATAAAGAGATAGAGAGATTTTTCGGTTTGATTTCAGAAGGTGGAAAATTTGAGAATATCTTGCAAAATGCAGAAGAGTTGCACATGAAAGTGCAAGAATCTCACCGAACCCAACTCAGTAGACGCACTTGCGGACTCTTTCATACGCTATGGGCCGACGGTATGCCAGAATGGATTGTGGTTGAATGAATTGTGAAAATGTTGAATAGAACAATGTGAAAACCAAGCTTTTGCAAAATACGCAGTGAAAATTGCCTAGTAAAAAAGAAAAAAATCTCATTTTTGAAAAGGGAAAATTAAACACTTTTTAAAAACACCCATTAAAAAAGACATCTCTAAGGGCTTTTAAAACTTGAAAATAAGCACCTTTAAGCACTTTTTAAAAATGCTACGCACCATGAACTAAATTTTAAAAAAATAATAAATAAAAGTTCAAGCAATGAAAATTCCATTACGTAAAAATTTATCAAAGGAATACTAACTAAATTTTTTATGCAAAGATAAAGAACAATACCAGAGATAATTTTTTCTTCATTCAGTTCAAGAATACAATAAAGTACAAAGTTACCAAAGGGGTGAAAATAAAACGTTTTATGCGGAAAAAAAGAACAATACCAGAGATCATTTCCTCTTCTTCATTCTGTTCCAGAATACCATGAGCAGTCCTCTTGTGCATGGCCAAGGTGGAGGTTTGCCGATAGTTCTTTCCACATAGATTGCACGCATAAGGCTTGAAGTGCGTATGCACGACATGGTGCTTATAAAGACTAGAATATTCAGTGAAACGCTTGTTACAACCAGACACTGCACAGAGGTAAGGTTTTTCACCTATTCAAAACACATGAAAAATAGTTCAATATAAATAAATTTAAAAAAAAAAAAATGATTTTGAAACAAGAAAAACATTTTTTGCTCTAAATTTAAGATGTAATGCAGGAAAATTGAAAAGATTTATGCGAAAAACTAAAAATAAATGTGCATTTGGTAAGGGAAAGAGATATGGTAACTCCCTGTGTGTTGAAAGAATGGAAGAAATATTGTGGTGTTATAACTGGGATCCCCTGGTACTGACATTAATTGTTTAGCTCTTTCAGTTAAATTGAAGCATTTTCATAAGGCATTGACCACAAAATAAGAGAAAGAAGGTTTTCCAAAAAAAAAGAAAGAAAAACAAGGTTTTCCAAAAAAACTTATAACTTTTAACTACAAATTTTTAAAGAAAAAAATTTTTTAATAAAGATTTATTCAGGAAACCTTATGTTTTAGTGAAATTCTTTTGAAAAAATATAAAAACTATGCGTGTTTTTCATTAAAATAAAAAATCATCCGGAAGGATTTTACCACTAGCATTAAATACAAAGCAATAAATAAAACCCAATGAATCCAAATAAATAATATGCATAGAACTTTAAATGGCACTTAATTCATATATCTTTTCAAATGAAAATTGTTGAGAGGCTTTACATTTAGGTTAAAGTATAGTACAATGCATGTAATGCACAGAGCGGAGAAGAAAAAAACATGAAATACCCTGAATCACTTTTGATCTAATGATCAGGTTTTCATGTACTAGGAATGAATATTAATAATTAGAGAGGACGTTAGTACAAATGTATTTAGAGTTACCAAATCAGATACAAAAACTATATTCTCTGGAGGAAAAAAATTATTATTTTTGGATGGAATTGGATTTTTGGTCCTAAATATAGGAAATAGGATCCTAACAGTTTGGTCAAAAAAGGAGCCTCAAACTCCTTACATGTTGGTTTTACTTGTGTACTTTCTTTGTTATTTTTTTGAGCAAATAAAAAACTTATGACATATAATTATAAAATTTGCTTATTTAAAAATGATTCCATACAAAAATAAAATTGTTTTTTAATTTCATTTAATAATCTATGAAAAATTGTTGAATTAAAGTTATACAAATATTTACATAATTTGAACGAAATCAGAGAAATAGTTCCTTGAAATCGAATTGACTTTTATACTTAAAGTTTAAATTATGACTTCTTTTAAAATTTGATTTTTCAGAAACTATTAGACAGATTGGATATAAAAATTATTAATAAGTAAAAAAAAAAAACATCCCAACTCTTGGAACCCCTCTAACACTTCCTTAGAACCCTATAAATCCAAAGGACACCTTTTGCTCTAGCGAACCACAAATTCCAAGACACAAAAGGGAGAAGGAAAAAAAATGTTTGTTTATATCAATACCTGTATGTATTCTGATATGATTTTTGTAGTTTGTAGCACTGGCAAAAGCTCTACCACAACCTTCCTCCTTACAGATGTATGGACGTTCTCCCGTATGCGTCCTGATGTGTACTTTACGTATATTAGAGGTAGTAAATGCTCTATCACAACCAGAGAAGGAACATTTAAAAGGTCTCTCTCCTATTCAAAATAACAACAGAAAAATCATCTATTATTTTTATTTTTTTTGTTACAGTATACAACTTTTCTGTCTTGAAATAAGAAACCATTTGTTTAAAATGAGGCTAAAATACATACCAGTGTGTGTTCGAACATGTTTCTGCAGATCCCCAGATGTCTTAAAGGCTTTATGGCACGCCTCGTCCGGACACTTGTAGGGTGTCTCCCCTGTATGGACACGCGTGTGACTCTTAAGACCATAACCTGTCGCGAAAGATTTTGTGCAGGATTTGCACTTGAAGGGTCTATCTCCAGTGTGAGACCTTTCATGGACCTACACACAGAATAAAACAGTTATTCGTAAGATACTAAAATAAATAATAATATAAATAATTAAGAATAATAAAATGATAATTATTAAGAATTTTTCAAGACATGCCAAAGCAGTTTCAGGAAAAAAAGAAAGAAAAAACTTGAACTGACTGTGGCAACATAACTTCAGAAACGATTTTCAAAATAAATTAAACTGTAATCAGAACTACAAATAAAATATTAATGACATAAAAAAGGTTTTTATAAGCATTTTGAGTTCAAATTATAAAATTCTTCTGTTAGTTTCAAAATGCCATTATTTATTAAACTGATAATTGGAATAATTTTATAATAAAATCTTATACTAATCAATTTAAAATTACTTTAAAAATTAGAATTTTGTTTAATAATTTGTAAATGGCTCCTTAATCTACTACTTTTAAAAGTTCTGCATGTATCAAATTGTTGATTAAATTGTTAATTGGATTGAAATTATTTTAATAATTTGAATAAACATATCTATTCAAATTTTCGAAACAATTTATCTGCATCATACAATAATTGATATTTTAATTTTTGATTTCTGTGTAAGCACTATACATTTTCTTAAATTAAAATATTAAATTTAAATTATTACCTACTAAAATATTATTTTCAATTTTATTATTTTTTTTTGATAGTTTCATTCAGTGAGATTTTCAGCTTTTTTGTTAGAATTAATTTTAAAATAAACCCAAGTACTGCAGAAAGATATAATAATAAAAAAAAATAATAAAATAAAAAAAACACTATTTTCTCCAATGTTTTTTTAATAAGGGGATTTTTATTAAAAAAATATAATTTTTTTCATTTTTGGATGAGATTTAATAATTAAAAGTGTTTATTTTGCAAACGTACCAATAAAAGAATTCAGCACTTAGTTTACCAAATATAATCACTTAGCGCTTAGAACAATAATGTTTATTAAAAGATCACCATATTCGCCCTCTCAAATCTTAACACATGAATGGCCCTTTGTTTGTCAACTGGCTGTGCAAGTGGCCTTTAACCCAAAAACATTATGCTCTCCTAAATTACATGTATATAAATACATATATAGGGGTTTTTTTTAATACAAGATAAAGTAAAAAATAGTGATGAATAGTTTATAATTAAAAAGAGCTTCTTTTACTCATTACAAAAATCATCTATCAATGAAATACCAGTGGTCCAGGTTTTGATACCAGTTTTTTCCTCCTACTTTCAGCCCTGCTTCAAAACCAAGGACGAGAAAGCTTTCGGATCGACTGCTTCATATTTTCGTTTTATGTATTCAATTTATGAAGGTTTAGAACCTGCATTGTAGAGCTAAGAGCCAGTATTAGTTGTTTATGGAATCCCCCCCCCAATCAACCCCCACTCACCTACACATTTTAATTACTAAAAATGCGTAATTATAGATGCAAAGTCTATAGATTTTAATATTTCAATTTGAAAATGAATGCTTGTGATACTAATTTTGAAATACATAAATTTAAACAACTTTACTTTTCATCTTTTAATCACTGTGTCAACCTGAAATCTATCTTATATTATAGTAATGCAGGTTTTAATGGTTATCAAAAGACTAGAAAATCTTAATTATTAAATCTACATAAAAACTGCTAAAAAAACATTTCATTCACATTAGAACTTAACAGGCATTAAACTGATTGAACCTATACTGTCTGGAAACAAAATAATGCTTATATAATGTAACATAACTTACTTTTAGGTGATGTAATGTAGTATAAAGCCTTTTGCAATTAGGAAACTCACACTGGAAAGCTTTCTCTGCAACTTTAGTAGTAGTGCTTTTGTTAAAACTTTCCTGTAAAGAATTCACTCATTCAATTATGAGACTAAAATGTGCAAAGGTCAGAACAAATAAAAGTAAAATAATTATTAGAATGATAATTTAACAATTGGCTTTCATAATTCGCTTCATGAAACATATTTGTATATCTAATTGACTACAATTATCACAATTGATTATATTCAACTACAACATTAATTTATGATATTTAACTTTGTATATAATTCTTCATAATGAAATTCCAATTTTTTTTTTTTTTTTAAATGTAGAATTTCATAATATAACAGTTAAAAGTGGCTGTACTGCCTTATAGTAATAACGTTTTTAAAAAAATTACACTTTAGAAATTGCCGAATGAGACTTGATATTTAAGCAAATTGCAACGTTTTATAATTTATGTTTGTTCAGATCAAAATAAAATTCAATAGAAGTGGCTGCCTGTATTCCAGAAGTTATAAAGATCTTCATTAAAAAAGCTTGACTCCCTTTTTCTCTTCTTTTTGATTAACATAAAATTATCCATTATTTAATAAAAATGATAAAATTTAACAATTTCTTTAACATTATTCACAGATCATTTATATTTATGTTGCTGAACAGTGAATGCAATTCAATTAAATAACATAATGCTACTAAATTCTTCTTATCAGATAAACAAGGAAAGTAAGTGCCTGCTATATTAAAACAGTGACTGCCTCTATTAATACTGCAGCAATGTAAATCAGCAGCTTTTTAAAATCAAATCTATAATAATAGAACCATACAATAGCAAAACATACCAAAACCACACTTTTATTTATAAAACCACTATCCAAATTTTCAAATTTCAATCCAATTTTTGAAGGGCTTAAAAAAAAACTTTTATTTTCCTAATTTCTTAATAGCATATGTATAACATATTTCCTTCAACCTCCCCTGAGGAAAAAAACAAGTAAGGATTACATTTCTTAGGGATATTTAAGGGAGAGGGTTGAAAATAATAAAACATAGAATGTAATGAAATTTTGAAGAAAAGAAAAGAACTGTTCGTGAATTAAAGTTATGAAGTGCCCATCATCAGTCAATGTTTTTGATCGTAACTCATTTAATAAGGTGAATCTGTTTTCAATAGATGTCAGAAAAACCTTTAATGTTTTAAAAAGAACTTTACAGCAAAGAAAAAATGTATTGAAAGTTGCAAAAACTTTTAAACTATGTTGAATCTTTAAAGTTTTCAAATCAAATGAAGATGAATGGCTATCAACATGGATAGGAAAAAATACAGTAGATTTTACAAAATTAGATAAATTTCATGATAATTATAGCATAATACACTAAATATTTCACAAACAAGGAATTTTAGGGATTTTGATAGTCATTAGAATACAAAAACTGCAATATTTTCCAGTTATGATTGACATTATATGAACTTGAAATTGAATGTTTACTCATAATTTTGAATAGTGACAGTTATTCAATTCATCAAAGATATTTAAAAGATTATTTATTTAATTTAAAAAGGGAGTTCTGAATAAAAATAAACTGAACATTTTAGAACAAATAAAAGTTTTGAATTGATTTCTATAAATGGGGATTGCTACATAACGTAGTAGCATTCAAGCAATAAAAAGATGCAAATATTCTATTTTGATAGGGAGTTCTTAGAAAAATTACTCAAATTCATGGAATTTTTTAAAATGTACAAAATCCAGGAGAAATTTTATTAAACTGGAATACCAGGAAAAATTTGCAAAATCTAGTAGTCTACTGGAAAATCCTGTAAAGTTGGCAGTTAGAAATGCGAATATTTTAAAATTCTTCTGTAAACTTATCTTTTAAAAAAGAAGGTAGCTCATGTTTCGTTAAAATGTAGATTCAGTAAAATTAATCTATAATTGAAATAATTAGTTTAGCTTTTAGTGTATTTGTCAAGCTTAATATTGAAATTTTTAAGTAAAGATATTTCGGTTTACAAAATCAGCCACTCTATCAAATCAATTGTTTTTTCAAAACTGACATGATTTTGATAGGTGCCGGTCACTGTAGCAGAATTTTAGTATATTTAATAAGGAAGTCTTATTAACTAGCTTTAATTCAGTAACTGGAAAAGTTTATGAAATACCAGTTTGAGAACAGGGTGCCTAACCTAATTATTCAACAAAAAATAAGCACCTTTTAAACACTTTTCAAGCACTCAAAAAATATTTTTAAGCACTTTAAAAAAATATCATAATTAGGCAGGGTTCATAAGTTTTCGACAATTGGCGGTTTTATCTTATTTTTACCATCATGTCAAAAAAACAAACAAAAAAAAAAGACTTTTGGTATTGCTTTTGACAATTGTCAAAAATCATGAAATTTTCAAATACGTAAAACGAATGGCGTTTTCGTACACTACAGACTAACAATACGCCGAAATAGATTGGGGTTGAATTAATTGTGAAAACATTGAATAGAACAATGTGAACTTGTCTTTGTGTATAATTCGAAGCAAAAATCAACATAGTAAAGGAAAAATCTCATTTTGAAAAAGGGAAAATTAAGCACTTTTTAAAAATACCCAATGAAAAAAGCACCTTTAAGGGCTTTTAAAAAACAATAATAATCACTTTTTCAAAAAGCTATTCACTCTGGATAAAGTTCTACTAGTTTTACAGTTTATTTTCTCTTTTTCCCTTTTACCGTGCAGGAGAAGAAAAAAATTTTCCAAATCTGCATTTATAGAAAACCTACAGCCCAAACAATTACAGAACATTTAATTCAAATCAAAAAATGAGAAAAATAATATATTTATAAATTAATAATTATACAGGAGTGCTAACCAACATTGATCTTGCAATAATACCAAATAAGAAAAATAGAATTACCACTTTCAAGTCCATTTCCTTAACATCCGCATCAACAAGCTAAATAAATAAATAAAAAAATATAAAAAATTAAAATTACAAAAAATAAATTAACAAGAACAAAGGTCATTCAAATTAATATTTAATCCTGAACGGTCAAGAATTATTTCAAATTTCCCACCAGGTATAATTAAAAAGATTAATTATGATAATTATAAAAGTTAATTATATCAATTACAATTGAATTAATATCAAATATGACTACAATAAGAGCAAAAAAATAAAAAAATAATTTTGATCATCATATGTGCGACATTATGAAGTGGCAGCATCAGTTCGCTAAGGGTTAATATATTTCAAAAGAGAAATCTAAAGCAATAAAAATAATTCCATGTGCAGGGGTCTGTCTAGGTTTATCTGAGAGGTACCTATTTTGCGAAAATTAAGAATTATATTAAAAAATCAACACAAAGATATGGTAAAATTATGGATTTATCGTTCCTTACGAGATGCAAAAATCAAATTTTAAGAAAAAGTATTTTGTGAAACTATCGTTTTCCCCAAAGTTGAATTTGTGAAGATACCGCTAAAAGTAGTAAATGTGACCTGGACAGACTTTTGATGTGTATCCAGAGTATCTTTCTAGCGACAAATCTAAAAATGTATCCGTTGCTCAATGGAATTTTTTTTTCTCTTTGGAGGTACAGTGCAGAACCCATTATCCGGAAATCAGAAAACCAAAAAACCGGAACGAAATTCGATACGTTTTCCCGCCATTTTTAAAAAAAAAAAAAATTTTCTCCTCATAAGATTTTAGGATTTTTCTTTCTTTTTTAAAAGATGTTCCCCTTACCATCATTTGGAAATAATCATTAGTGTATTACTTAATCGTTTTTTCTTCTTTTTAAGATTATTTCAAAAAACTTTTTTCTAGTTGGGTTTAACAATAAAAAAACGGCTTTTTGTAGTGATTCAGAAAACCGGAAAAATCAGTTATCCGGAATAGCGATGGTCCCGATCGTTCCGGATAATCGGTTCCCTACTGTATATATTAATTTCCTTAAATAAATCATTTTTAAATACATAAAATCAGTGGTTAGAAAAACTAATGCATTTGTGGTTGCTTTGCTTACTTAGTATGAGGATGTGATGTAAAGGGAAAAAATTTCCAAAGTAAAAAAAAAAAACAAGTTTATTTTTGTTAAGAAAAGAAGGAATGCATTTCCAGTCTTTGCTTGAATAGGAAAGTAGGTGCAATTATTCATTTATTTCTGTGGAAAATACCTGAGATGTTGAAATATGTTCCAAATCCAAAGTTGAAGCTTCTCCATTGAATAATTCGGCTCCAGTTTGAGATAGATAGGCGACCGTTCCATCTTCCAACTGAACAGGCTGAAGTCCCTCTGAAAATAATTATACATTTAAGGTACAAAAATTAATATCCATCAATTAAACTATTTTTTTCCAGCGTGCTGCTCGATTTAAATATATTTTAAACACAAGAAATTTGAGACCTCCCCAGATTATTTAATGTAATGAACTTCACTTTCTAAACTAATGAAATTTTCAAAGAAGCAATAAACGAAATGAAACTTCTATTTGGTTGGGTCATTTTTAAGATCAATTAAAAGAAGAAAAAAATAAAGAATGTAATATTGATTTTTTGTTGTTTCCAAGGAGATTTCTGAGTACACAAAGCAGTTTTGAAGCTGAATATTGAACGATAATATAAAACTTTCTTAGGAAACATGATTTCCAAATTAAATTAGAAATTAAACCAAAAGCAAAATTACTATGCAACAGAATTATTAAATAAAATATATATATTAAAAAATACTTTTAATAAATATATTCAGTTTCATATGACTCCAGCAATTAGTTATTTCAAAACATTATTACTTTTCAAATTCTTAATCTGTATACATAACTTACAAAATATTCTGTTTATAAATATACTATCAAATTAATAATTTCTTTCAATCAGAACTTAATTGCTTTAAATAAAATGTTTTGAAAATTTCAAATATAATTAAAAAATGTTTTAAAAATTAATTTGTGTACAATATTTAACAAACACAGATATTTTAACTTAGTTATTACAATAAATGAGGTCAACAAACTGCTAAAAAAAACATGCAACTTCATTACCTCGTGGAGCAGCATGAATGAAGGCTGTGCTACCATCCTCAAGTTGCACAGCTTGGCCATCAATGAATCTGGCAGTGGCATCGCCACTGTCTGCTTCATCGACGGGCTCAAAGCTCTGCACAAAAGCAGTAGTCCCATCCTCCAACTGGATGGAGGAAGTTCCATCCAAAGATTGTCGCAAGATATCATTAGGTTCCAGAATCATTCCCGCAGCATCAGTCAAGGAAACCTGACAAATGTTCAGTGGGGAGGCATCCGAAATAGAAACCGTAATGGAAGAGCTAGGAAGGTCAGGTTCCGTTTTACAAACAGCTGGATAAGTAAGGGCCTCAGTACAATCCTCATCTGGTTTCTAAAAGGCAGAAAATGTATAAGGCAATTAAGATGTTTTATATAAGCAAATAAAAAATGGGAAAAATAACTCAATTTTTCATTGCAAAGTAATAATAATAAAACATGTGAGCTGGTAAAAAAAAAAAAAAAACATAATTTTTGCTATTTTAATTATGATTATTAGTATTCCAGAATATGCCGTGAAACCTCTCTGAAGTGACAACTTCCACAGTAAATTGGTCGTGAATAGAAGTTAATCACTCTTAGGAATAGAGGCTAAGTTTTTCTAAAATAATTTTTTTTTCTAATTTAACTCTATAGATAATCATTGATAGCATCATCTTTACTGCAACATGAGATTGCAGATGCCTTTCAGATATCATCAAAACGAGCTCTCCAAACAAGAGTCCCACACAAAAATTTCGAGTACATTTTAATCTATTTAATTTGTTTTGTTACTGTTTTTGTGTTTTGATATTTTTCGTGTTTCTTTATTTAATCTTTTCGCATTTATTGCCGAGGATTTCCCGGTCGCTGGGAGAGGTTTTGATGGTCTCTCCAAAAGGTTTTCTTCAACACGGAATCTATGGAAAAAATTCTGTGCCTCTCAAAAGTGGTCGTAAATAAGCACAGACATTACAAAGCCCACTGTTTATAGCTGTTAAATGTTGTTTAAGCCTACCTTTGAACTAAAAACATACACAGGAAATGAAAATTGAAGAAATGTATGAAATGAAATTTAGAAATGAATCATGTGAGATTACAACAATTGCTCCATTTAATAAATTAGACTTAAACAACATTTAACAGCTATAAACACTAGTTTTCTAAGAAACCACTTAACTATTCTAAAAATTAGAAAGGTTCATACTCTTAGAAGTAATCCAATCACCTCCTGCGCTTTCTGACTCTCAAGTTCATCTTCCTTTGACTCTTTCAGTCCTGACATGGTTCATATCAATCAATCCTTTAATAATGAAAAGGAAAAAATTTAAAGATAAAATTACATATAAATTTTCATCTTTATATAATCCTTTTAAAGTAAACTTCTATTAAAAGTCATTGTGTTTATCTTCTTTCCAATTGTTAAATTTTAGTACTCACGCATCTAAAAATGATATACATCTTGGAATCAGCTTAGGAATTAAACAACATTTTGTTTAACTTAGATTGCAATTATAAGCTATTACAACATTTATTTTAATATTTGTTTTAGTCTGAAAAAGTTTCTTCTACTTGGGATGGAAGAAACTTTATATAAAATTAAAATGACTTACAAAAAATAGTTTTGTGATGGTTAACGCTCCGGATTTGCGCAGAGTTTTGAAAATCCCCATATTTTTAATATGTCATTATTACGATATACGAATTGTAGTTATCACTTTTGACGCTCTTCGGGTGTGCCGATTTTATCATGAATCCAATAACTTTTCGGTAATTACTGCTATCCATTTTCATGTAGTTTCTGAAATCGTGATTTTTAAGTTATGAAATGTTTAATTTCTGCAAACTTCATGGAAAATCTAAGTGACTTTGATCCTTTTTTCGGCAGTTATTGCTACGCGTTTCCGAGTGGTTTTTAAAATTTCAGTATTTTAGCACAATTTTATTACAAATCGTGAGTAAAGAATTGCTCATTTTGATTATTTTTTGACGTAGTTTNGGTTCATTAATGCTGATTTTATCGCAAATCACATTATTTTTCAATCGTTATTTTGGCAATTATTGCTGCACATTTCTACAAGATTTTGAAAGCCCTGATATATTTTATACGCTATTACGACTTTAATTTCAAATCCCGTATTTAAATACATAAATTTTTGACACTGTTTATTTACACCAATTTCATTGCAAGGGATCAAAGGGATTTTGAGAAATTTTTGGTTAGTTAGAACTACGCGTTTTTTCCCCGTGATAAAAAAAAAAAATTCTTAAGTTTTTAATACTATAACTTAACAGCACGCGCGTTTTGAATCGCACATTAAAATAATTTCTTTTCATGTGCTTTATTTGTACCGATTTTAACATAAATATAAGAGGCTTTTCGAACTTGTTTTTTTTCTTTTTCCCGTTATTCCTACATTTTTACTTGTGATTTAGAATATCCTGATATTTCAGCTCAATATTACAACTCGTGAAATTCGATTCTGTTTTAAATTTTTTATGTAACTTATAAAATAATTATGGATCTTGGCAAAATAGATACCTTCCCGAAGAGAATAAAAAAAAAACCGAGATGTGTACATTTATATTAAACGCGGTCCGTTTTGCAAAAAAATAATTAAAAAAACCATGCAAATTTCCTTGGTCTCATGAACATGTGCAAGAACATGAACACGCACCCAACCTATTGTTTTTGTTCTCACATGATTCAAAAATCTGTTCTTCTGTTTTCTTTTTCGTTTTTCTTCCCTTAAGTAATCAGTTTTGCAGTTTCTAATTTTAAACATTTAAAATTATTTAATTTCATGAAAAAACATTTCAAAGTTAACTGACAAAAAGAATTTAGTGTCCAGAACAATGAAGTCTATATAACAATTACTACCTAAAATTTCTGTCAATATGTCTGTCTACTGTTTGTCTAAGATAGGTACTCTTCCAGACATTCGTCTGGAGCTGTGGCCATGACTATGGTAACGAAGTATGATTATTTCAAGTAGGGGTGTGGGTCCCTCTTTAAGACTGGTTTCGGCGAGAGAAAAGGAGACCTCTTCATCAAAGTTACCCTCCCTAAAATGCCCTCTTGTTTCCATAGCACCAGACTGCTGCAGACTTCATGGCGGGAAAAGTACCTATATTAGTCAAACAGTATATACTTCGTCATGCAGCCCTTCATTGGTCAATCTGCTGCGCCTGTGGCCTTTCACTCAAAAAGGTTGTGCACCCCTAATTTAAAGAACCTGATATTTTCATTAGATGTGGAGAGAGTAGATATCGACAATGTCAACCTTCATCTATTAAAAAGTACCCCATCATAGAATCGAGTTAATAAGTCTTATATACTAGTGAATTGGAATTGTATTTTGTAGTGGTACATACATTACATTAGAACTAAAAAAAAAAAAATAATAATAATAAGTTCAAAATATTTTTAATAGTTCATAAATTTACGTCTTAGTTTTATTTCAAAATGAAATTTTTCATTGGCAGCATGTAAAATAAGTTTCTACACCTTTGGTTCTATGTTTATTACAAGTCATTTTAAAATGTTAAGTCAAGTTATGTTAAATACAAGTCATTTTAAAATTTATTTTTAAATGAGTAGTTTGTATAGTTATAGGTTAATTAATGAGGAAAGACTTGATAAGCCAAGAATAATTTGGAAAATTGATTTTTTTTTTTAATGTCAGATTTTAACTAATTTATTATTCACTAGATGTCTAACAAAAGGGTCTATGTCTTTACAAGAGTGTTAAGCTTGAACTATTCATTAGTAACTATGATTTTACTTCTTCAGTGATTAATTTGTAATAATTAATTACTAATTATTTCAGTTAAAAATATTAAATGTTTGGTAATATTTTTAAAACAATACTAAGCATTACTATAACTGATGTATTTAACAAAATTTTGAATAAATTAAAATCTAATCTTTCTTTTAAAAAAAATAATTTAAGCAAACCTTTTTTTTTTAATTATATTTGTAAACTTTGCTTAAAATAGATGGGAAAACTACCAGTACATTACCTGTACCAAAATAATAGCCAAGTTTTGACAACTTTTAAGCAATAATGGCACTAAAGAAACAAGATATAAACATCACAAAAGAAGACTAACTGAAAAACATTTGGTTCCAAAGCCATACCAGGGCAAACTACATTTTTGTTGTTTATTTGTTTTACAAAACTCTTAAACACCTTAGCAATTATGGTTGGCGTGAAAGGCTTCTAATAGAAAAATATTCCCCAGCTAAAAATTTAATTTGAGTTCATTTTAAGAAAATGATATAAACTTACTATAGCCTTCTATATTAAACACTCAAGAGATATTGGACTTAGTTTAGGTCAAGTTGTCAATGTTTAAATCAATATACAGCCTTTAACACTTACTGATTAAATATAACTATCTTTAATACAGATTTTTTTTCTTTTGAATTTTTTTGAGAAGAAACTTTTTGTATCAGGAACACAAGAAACAGGAAGGAACTGGACACAAAAGTAAAGACTAAAAAGGACACAAATACCATTGCTTATAAAGTTAAAGAATAAATTGAATTTTGAAAAATATAATTTTAAATTTATTAAGAAAGTTGAGAGTTTATCACATTTACTTTTTAAAATAATAACTTATTTTCATGATAATGAATAATGACGGTCGATAAATATAAATAAACAGCAAGTGTTTACCATATATTCACCAAATAGCAAAGAGTTATTTATAACTCTTATTGTTAAGTTTTCTCCTTTTTAAGAAATCACGATGCATGATTTAGCCACAGTCAAAACTTTTATTCCATGTTTTTAATAATATAGCATAAAATACTAATAATTTAAACAAGCGCATTTTAAAGGGGGGAATATAAGAGTACGCCAAACGAAATTTAATTTGAATTTATCTGGTTTCAATTATTTTCGAAAGCTGATGAACTCAGACATATGTGTCTTAAGTGCTAATAAGTTTTCCAGATGTGTTTACAGTTTAATCCAAATGAATATTATTTTGCATTCAGAGTAATTTGTTAACAAGATGGCGACTTAATAATCATTAGATGATACTGCAGCTCATCAATCAAGAGCAGATAATTGAAGGATATCATATTACATTTCTCGACAACAAATATAGACATATTATAATTAATTTTTTGTATCAAGTGAAGGCCTTGACTTTCAGCCAACCACAGTCCAGCCGGACACACAGAAGAATGTTGGGAAATTATTACAAAGAACGCTGGGAACTTACCAAATGGACCACCATGCTTTGCAAAAAAAACAAAAACTCAATGTTGTGATGCCAAAAGCAATTTAGAATAATGTAAAGATAACTTACAAAAAAAAAATTTGAGTGCTTTCTGAGTAAAAATACTTCTACTTTTATTAAGTGCAGAAACTCGGAAATGCGAAGGAGAATACCGTTTGAAATCTCCATTGCTCGGAACAATTAAAAAATTTTTCAATACTTAATCCAAATAGAATTTTGATTTGAATAGAATAGAAGTTAATTCAAATTGAAAGAGTTGCAAAAGTATCTATGTACAGTGCGTCAAAAAAAAAAAAAAAAAAATGGACCACCTTGAATAACTTTCATGGATCTTATGATACTTTAGACTCCATGATGACTTTTGATCTAATTATCGGTTCTTCATGTCCTAGGACTCCATCTTAATCAAGATTGAGAATCTTAATTAAGAATGGTTCGAGGGGTAGACTTCAAATATAATAATTAATTAGGGCTGATAATATTTTAAGTTAAGGAATCAAACACAGAAACGTACTTTCTCTGAATAAACACACCTTTTTTTTCATGGGATTCTGATTTCTGATTCCCAAAACATAAGGGGTAGCCGCAATCTGGTTAATATGGTCCCCATAGTTTGATCAGGAGAGCGATCCAAAGTTTAGACCTCATAATGTTAACTTTAGTTTTTGCTTATTTTTCCATATCTCTAAGAACTTTTTAAGCGAGTTGAAAAATTTTTACTCACAATTATAAAGTTAGTTTAGCCAAAGATTATACAGTGCAAAAAATTAATTTCCATTAAACAATAGAGAAAAAAAATTCGAATTATAAGGTATGCAATTTTTACTCCATTTAAAAATTTCTCTGCAACTATTTCGATTTCGCTCACATTTTGTACTTTGCTATGCAAAAAAATTTAAAATAATGTAAAAAAATTTATACCTTGCAATTATATTTTTTTTATTATCATTAAATAAAATAATAAATATTTACAAAAAAAAATTTTTTTTTATTTGCATGGAATCGTTTATGGATAAACGAATTTTATAATTGTGTGCAAAAATTTTTCAATTTGCTTAACAATTTCTGCAGATATGCTGAAATACGCAAAAAATAAAATTAACATTAAGGGGTCCAAATTTCGCATCGCTCTCCTAATGAAACTATAGGGATCATATTTCCCAGATTATAATCTGGGAAATATGATACCTCTACCCCCTATACTTTGGGAGTCAAAAATCCAAATCCGTAAAAAAAAAAAAAGAGGCAAATCTATGAAGAAAAAATACGTTTTTGTGTACGACTTTTCAACTTTAAAGATCGACAGCACTAATTAATTAGAATATTTGAGATCCACCCCTGGAACATAGATAAGTTACTACCTAGATAAATTATTTAGAGTGATCCGTTTTTGTTTTTCGTTTTATGCATTGTACTCTTTTTAATTCCATATTCATAATACAGTACAATTTCAAGGAAAAATCATAAAATCTTTTTTCAAACGTCAAACACTATATTAAATTCTGATTAATTGAAAATTATTTCAGTCTTGCACCGTATATTGGATATGCTCTAAGCTAGAGGCGGGGAACCTGCTTCATTGAGGACGCATGTAACCTTGAGTTTCTTGTACGGCTTCTAGCTCTCATATTGATTAATATTTAATTATATGGATTGCAACAATTTAGAATTCAATGGAATTGAATAACTTGCTGCCCTCCATTGAGCATTGGATTAGAATGTTGTAGTGTTGCAGTTTTATCAGTCTTTCATATTCTATAATTATTATTCTTGCGCACTTCTGAGTTTGAAAATGTCCAATAATAGGAATTCTTCTGTTGTGTTCGTAATTTTTGGCCATGGCTCATACCTATTTGAAATACACTAACCCTGTTGCTGCCATCCACCAGACACCGTGACGGTGGCTGCTGATAGAGACAGTACCTACTTTTCTCCTTCAACCCCACATCCCTCAGTATTCGCCTTTATGTTGCGGAGTTTTTATAGTTATATCAATTTATGTGACCTTCTTTATCACTGCCTAATTCAAATGTGTCCTTCTCCTCACCTCTGCCCTAAAAAAAATTTCTCAACCTCAACGGCCTACTCAATGTAAAAGTATTGTGTATCTCAGAGGAATAGACACATATTTATTTTTAATGATTAAAAATGTTTAATTGAAGAATAGTTTAATCCTCAACGCACAGACAGTTTGAAAACAAAAACGGCCAAAAAAATTCATTTTTTTATGTAAAAAAAAATACACTTAATATTAAAAAACACGTTGTTATTTTCAATTCTCGATTATATTCGAGTGTGAAAAATTACAGCAGCTTAAAATACAACGTTGCTCAAATTATCTCGAGTGAGCACAGTTTGGCCTGTTTACCGCCCTCGAATTTACTCGAGCGTACAGGGGTTGAAATATACTTCAAAAATATTAAACATTAGGGATATTTCGCCCTTATACGTTAGCTTCCTCTCGTACAACTGAAGCAACTGTGCATGCTCGCGTTTATTTTAGATGCTACGTATCTTTACGTTACGTTGGTGTGATTAACGTTACAAAGACAAACATATACAGGGAATGCATATTAGAAGAAATTTATTAATGAAATTAAAAAATGAATGGTGTAATATTACAACCATTGGTTGATGCAATAGAAAAAATAATTTTATTGGATTTTGTTTAACATTATGATTGTCTACTTGCACTAGTCCCATTAGAAAACCAGAAATATTTTAGTTATTTTAAAATCATATTTATTTTAATTTTACAATTTGGTTAAAAGAAATTTAATTTCAATAATATTTTTGTATTCGGTTATAAATACAGAATTTGTCTGATTTTATTTTGAAGTATGCTTTACTTTATTCCCTTTAAATTACTTAAAGCAAGAAACTTTTACCTTGGTACAAAAGTGTGCAATATTTGTAGCATTTTTGGATTATTATTATTAGAATCAATTTGATATTTATTTTAACTATTAATAGTAATGAATTTGGTTGAGTACGAAAAATGTAAATAATATTTGCAATATAAAATTGCTGTTATCAAAAATATAGGCTTGGTTTATTGATATCAAAAAAAGCATTACACTGAAATAATACTTTGAAATTATAAATAAGTATTCACAAAAGAAATGCAAGAAATAATCTACCCTCTATCAGAGCCGGCGGATGACATTTTCGCGCTCGAAAAAAGGAGATATTGAAAACGGCATTCTTAAAACTAAAAGTTGAAGGGCAAAAAAAATCTGATTTTTTTTTAATAAATTAAATTGCTTCGCCTGCCACAACGCAGTAGAAAAATTTATTTTTATTTTATGGATGGTTGACCGGGAAAAGCTAAGCACAGATGTCGCTAGGAATTAAAATTCGTCATCCGGGTTACTATTTCCGATTGATTTCAGGCCTCAAAATCCATTATTCCTTTACACTAACATTTAATTAAAATTTGTTTAAGATTTGTGTCATCAAATAATTTTAAACCTTCAAAGCGAAAACATAATGAATATGCCACTCAACATTTTGGTACAAAATTAATTCAGTGAAGGATCCCTTTATACATCGTTTAAAAAAAAATCTATGATATGATTACAGTATTTTTGACTGTAGTGGGTGCGTTTTAAAATTAGATGATGGAGACGGATCAATAGTTGTGAAACTATAAAACTTCACATTACAAAATTTGTTGTTAATCATAAATAAACACCCTTCATCAGCATAAAAAATTGATAATGTAAAGTTGAGTTTACTTTTTTATAAAATGAATGAATCCTCTGAGTAAAGTTAGATCTATCTGAACAATGCATCATGCTATTAGAAGAAGGCTAAATTAGTCTGGAAATAGCATTTTTATGGAAAGTCTTTCTATTGAGTTCTAAAAATATTTCGAGACTGAACTTATTTTTTTGATCAATTTTCACAATTCAGAGTTGTTTATTTGAATTTTCAAAAATTTATAGCTTAATGACTCCAAAATGTACCTTTCTATGATAAGGACTTATAAATTAAATCAATTATCTAGTTTTTTTTTCTCCATCATTTTATAAAGTTATTTTTTACAGCAAACTGGAGAAAAATAACAGCTAACCTTGCACATCTTTTGGACTAAATAATAAACCACTCATTTTTCTACACATTCCTCTACAAATTTTTCACTCCATCATTATTTATTTATTGTCCAATCTCCATAAATTTCTTTTCTTTAAAAAAAAAAAAAAAAATCTCAATTTAACTTTGGTCGGCATTTCAAAACATCGGGGGGAAATAAAACAAGAAAAATTTAGATACAATAGTATGAATTTTGTTTAAGCAAGCAGGTGTTTAAGTTCAATCTGATTTTCATTTCTGAGCTACATCACGATTTTATCATTTTGCAATAAACACAATTAACAATGTTTACTTAAAAATGTAATTTTATTCAACAGAAAATATTTGTTACATTTTTAAGGAAAAACAGAAATTTTAATATTAAAAACAAATGAAAAAAAAAAGACGTTAATTTATGAAACTTTACTGATTTTCCCTCAAGACAGTCCCCAGGACTGAAGAGTGGCACCCATGCTCTGCGACTTCAGAAGAATATTAATAGTTATTCGTGAGGGGTTAAAAGCTATTCTTCACTTCACGGATAGTGCGGACATTTGGATACATATTGACAGTCGTGGCTCAATTTAATTTTCCATTTCCAATGAATCCTGTCCGCGTCATTAGTAACGAATTGAACATAACATTTTTGTGTTTAATGGCACAAAGTCCAAAGGAGGGCATGCTGCACCAAACAATATGATAAAATAGATCCAAACTAAAATGTATGTTACACTTTAATTGTCGTGAAATCCAATTTGATAAAATGGTATTAAGGAAGCAGGGGTGATTGTGAGCCCAAGTCAAAATTCCGGAAAAATTTCAAAAAAAAAAAAACCCTTTCAATTGAAAAATTAAAAAATAATTTAAACAAGTTTTTTTCCCCTTTTCTCAGTATTTCTTAGTTTGATTAAAATATATTTAAAATTTTACGCATACCTATACCATTTACACATACCTATGATGACCTGGAGAAGTAATTAATATTTACAAATATGTCTTTCTTTCTTGAGTTTATGATTATAACAACTATTTACTGATAAAAAATGAATATTAATCATGAATATAAGCTTATTAAGTATCTCTCTGGCTCTCCCTTACAAACAAATAAAATAAACTGTGTTTTTAAGTTCCACCTTTGAAAATTTGATTTCCGGAAGCTTTTGTGATCAAGGATTTTTTGAAACGTCTGAACCTTCGATCTCCGGAAACTTCAGGATCACTGTTAGCAAAAATTCCGGAAATCCGGATTTTTTCCGGAGCACAATCAGCCCTG